AACAGACACCCTGTGAGGTAGAAGAAGAAGAGATTGGATTTATACCCCACCCTTCACTACCCAAGGGAGTCTCAGAGGGGCTTACAAACTCCTTCCCCTTCCCCTCCCCACAACAGACACCCTGCGAGGTAGAAGAAGAAGAGACTGGATTTATATCCCGCCCTTCACTACCTAAGGGAGTCTCAGAGCGGATAACAAACTCCTTTCCCTTCCCCTCCCCACAACAGACACCCTGTGAGGTAGGTGGGGCTGAGAGAGCTCTTTCGAGGACTGCTCTTGAGAGAACAGCTCTTATCAGAACTACGGCTTGTCCAAGGTCATCCAGCCAGATGCAAGCGGAGGAGTGGGGAATCAAACCCGGTTCTCCCAGATTAGAGTCCTCGCACTTACCCACTAGAGGAGGTTGGATTTATACCCCGCCCTTCACTACCCAAAGGTGTCTCAGAGCGGCTTATGAACTCCTTTCCGTCCCCTACCGCACAACAGACACCCTTATGAGGTAGGTGGGGCTGAGAGAGCTCTTGACAGAAACTGCTCTTTTTTCAAGAACAGCTCTTATCAGAGCTAAGCCCAAGACCATCCAGCCAGGTGCAAGTGGAGGAGTGGGGGAATCAAACTTACAAACTCCTTTCCCTTCCCCTCCCCACAACAGACACCCTGTGAGGTGGGTGGGGCTGAGAGAACTCTGACAGAAACGGCTCTTTTTCAAGGACAGCTGTGCCAGAGCTTGTGACTGACCCAAGGTCACATCAGCAGGTGCAAGTGGAGGAGTGGGGGAATCACAGCCGGTTCTCCCAGGTTAGACTCTGAGCACAAGTCACCACGACAGGAGGCTGCGACAGGTGGTGGAGGGAAGGGCGTGGGCAGTCCTCCGACAGGCCACTTTCCTTTTCAGGCCCCCCCCCCCCCCCCCCCCCTCCCCCCGCCACAGAAGGCTCTCAGCCAAGCCCTGCTCCGCGTCGCTTTGCTTTCTGGCCCGAAGGCGCGCCAAGGCTTCGAAGATGGGCGGCGTGGTGGAGACGTTCTTGCCGCTGCTCTTGCTGCTGCTGGGGGGAGTCGACCCCCTGCCGGGCGGGGTCAGCACCGGTGAGAGAGGGAGGGAGGGGCTCCGGCGGCCCGGGAAGGGGAGGAGGGGGCCGGCGGCGCCTCCTCTCCAGCCGAAGCCCTTTCTGCGTCTTGGAGCCCAGGCGCGCCGGGGTTTGGGATCGCCCGTGTGACCCCCCCCAGCGGAGCACTCGCAGCCCCTCAGCGGGGACCCACAGAAGGCTTGGGGAGGGGGCGGTGGGGAGTCCCTCCTTGTCGCTCCGCCAGGACGCCGCCCGCCCGGTTAAAGTGGCCTCTGCGGCCTCGGCTCGGGCCAGGTCCTCTCCAGCAGAAAGCGAGGGAGGGAGACCCCGAGAACCTAGCGCTCCTGGGCGCAGCAGAGGGACACGGCTGCCCCGAGTGGAGCCTGGCCGCCAGCAAAGGGCAACGACCCAAATCAGAAGAGGAGGAGGAGATTGTATTTATATCCCACCCTTCACTCAGAGGGGCTTACAATCTCCTCTCCCTTCCCCTCCCCACAACAGACACCCTGTGAGGTGGGTGGGGCTGAGAGAACTCTGACACAAACTGCTCTTTTTCAAGGACAGCTCTTGTCAGCATGGCGGGCTCTCTCACTAGGCCAGCTAATCTCTGGCCTAGGGTGGAGCTCCGAACAGGGCGCCAACTGCCCTGCTGCCCTCCCCCCACCAAAAGCCCCCACCCCAACTCATGCACGGCGCACCCATTTGTCCCCATTGCTGATTCGCCGCAGCACTATGAGGCCCCACCGCCTCCGTCGGGCTCAGGGCCAGCGGGGCACAGACAGCACCCCCTTCCAGGGCTGAGCTCCCTCCGGGGCAGGTGGAGTGGAGAAGAGGCAAGCCTCCCCCCCCCCCAGCAGCTGCTGCCTTTCCAGGGATGGGCTGTTGCAGTGAAGATAAGCCAGAGGCACTCTGTGCATGCTCTTGGCCCCTGGGACCAAGGCTCCCTTGAAGCTGTGGCGTCTTGTGAGCAAAAATCCTACTTTGTGAGCTGCTGGCATTAAACTTCTGAGCGGGTGATTTGGCTGCTGCATGAATTAGTTTGCTCTGGAGCCACATCCTTCCTGAGCTGAGGCGCATCTCCCCCCTCTTCCCCCCTTCAGTGGCGGGGACAGTGGGGGGAGGATGGCTGGGGAGGCAGTTGAGGTTCTCCTGCATGGCGCTGCCTGGTCGCCTGCCGGAGGAAGGCCCCCCCACACAAGGAAGGTTGCTGGTTTCAGGTGGCGCTGCAATTCGCACATGACCCCCGCGCGCTGCCCCGCTTCTCTCCCCCTTAACACACTAAAGGGAGAAGCCAGGAGAGGACCTTGCGGGCGCCTGCATGCCAAGCCAGGGGTTTGCAGCTTGGAGCGCACGGCCTCACCCGCCAGAGGCACAGGGCAGGTGGCCAAGTGGGTGGAGGGGGCAGTCCCAAGGAGGAGAAGGGCTTTCGTCTGTCCAGGACCCGCCTGGAGGTTGGCAACCCTGTAATTTGGTGCGTGGGGGCGTTAGAAGTTAGCCCCACCTAGGGCGCTAAAAACCCTCGGGTCGGCCCTGCTTGTCAGAACTATCCCAATCCCAAATATACAAATTCCACTAGTAGAAAACACCATCAAAGTTTGCCAAAACAATATATTAAACAATTATCAAGGTGGTTGTGTCGCTACAACAACATTTATGCATCCTGCAACTATATTAAGGCATAAGATACAATATTTCCTCCTTTGAAGATAAGACCTAAAGTCCATGTACTCAGTGTAACTTGATAACATGACAGGGGTTAGGACATAGTCACAGCCTTAGCAAAAACACCCATTCTAGATATTTGGAAGATGCGTTTCCTTCGACTTCTTCAGTTTGCCGGCTGTGTGAGTGGAACCTGATTTCAGCAATTTCAACATGATTCACTCCTTGCACTATGAACCTTGTGATCTGTTGAAATTGCTGAAATCAGGTTCCATTTACACAGCCAACAAACTGAAGAAGTCTAAGGAAACGCATCTTCCAAATATAAAAAATGGGCCTCTTTGCAAAGGCTGTTTGGAAAATGTTATGACTATGTGGACTCCTCCTATCAAGTTATCAAGTTACACTGAATACATGGACTTTAGGTCTTATCGTCAAAGGAGGAAATATCATATCTTATGCCTTAATATAGTTTCAGCATGCATAAATGTTGTTGTTGTGACACCACCAACTTGATAATTGTTTAATATATTGTTTTGGCAGTCTTTGATGGTGTTTTCAACTAGTGGAATTTGTATATTTGGGATTTTTAAAATAATAATACTTTCAATTTATTAGTCGCTTTCCCCACAAGTGGGCTCAAAGAGATTTACAGTTACACTTTTAGACAGGGGACTAACAATGCTTCATAGGGGATAGGAAAGACAACATATAATTCATTTAATTGCACACGCCGTAACTGCACGGTGGAAACATCTCTGGCTTGAATCAGTCATGTCCCGAATGGCTGCGTTCGTATGTCGTATCGCCACACTGCCACCGCCAGGCCGGAGCATCCCACTGCAGGGATTTTTCTGTAGCCGAGTAGATTCTTCCGCCTTCCGATCCTGGAGCAGGACATCACAACCGCCAGCTAACACCCTCCCACAAGGGAAGGTGGTGTGCCCACCTTCTCTAAGGATTTCTGTGACACTAGTCTTTTTACCTTGTTGTTTGGACTTATCAGAACTATGGCTTGCCCAAGGTCATCCAGCAGCTGCGAGTGGAGGAGGCTGGGGCAAAAGTCCAGATGGAAAACAGACTCCTCCTAGAAAACGCTAAACCTCAGCAAGTGACCCGCCCTTTGAGAAGCAAACAAGGTGTCTGTGAGCATCCAGACATCTGTTCTGCAAGCCAGAAAAGACCAGATGCATTTCGACACACATCAGGGGTCCCTTTGCACAATGTCACAAATGCAAGGGTTCGTTTATGAAAGATGAGGACCAGTGCACAGAACTATTATACATAGGACTAACACATAGAAGGACAATATGAGAAGCGCAGATAAATTGTCAGTTATCTCAAAGGCCCTTGACCAGCCAGGTGCGTTGGCCAGACCGTAGCATGGCCACTCCACTGAACATCAGTGGGTAAATGTGGGAGGGGGGGGGGAAGTGTCTATCTCAAGTGCGGAGAAGTTTCCAAACAAATTTTGTGGATTTAAGAATGTCTGTAAATATCCATCATATTCCCTCTTAGTCCTCTGTTTTCTAAAGAGATGACTACAGGGGGACATAACGAAGGTTTATGAAATTATATACAAATTGCTCCCAAATTGATAGGGCATCCAAAGAAGCTGATGCTCTCAATTTGCCAAGGCATCCAAAGAAGCTGATGGGCAGTAGATTCAGGACAGACAAAAAGAAATACTCCTTTACACAGAGAGTGATTAAGCAATGTGGAATTCACTGCCAGAGGGTGTAGTGATGGCCACAGGAACAAACAACTTCAAAAGGGGATTAAATGGATTCATGGAGGATAAGTCTATCAATGGCTACTAGCCATGGTGACTGAGGGGAACTTCCACATTCAGAGGCACTAATTCTCTGAATCTCAGAGCTAGGAGGCAACATCAGGGGAAGGCCTCAGCGTAGTCTTGCCAGGGCCTGGGCCAGGCATTGCTATGCTACGTCCTTGAAATGGAAAAAAGGGAAAGAAGAAAAAAGGGAATGAAGGGGAAGAAAGAAATGAAAAGGAAGGAAGGAAGGAAGGAAGAGAAAGGGGGAAAGTGAATGAAGGAAAAGAAGGAAAAGGAAAGGATGGGAGGTAAAGGATGGGAGAAAGGGAAAGAAGGGAAAGAAAGGAAATGTGAGGAAGAAAGGAAAAGAAAATTGAGAAGAAGAAATGGAAAGGAAAGAAAGCAAGGACAGAAAGAAATTGAAAGAAAAGGAACGGAAGGAAGGAGGAAAGGGAAAGAAAAAAAGGAAGAGAAAGGGGGAAAGTGAATGAAGGAAAGGAAGGGAAAGGAAAGGGTGGGAGAAAGGGAAAGAAGGGAAGTGGCCACTCCTCCACTTGCACCTGGCTGGATGACATTGGGCAAGCCATAGTTCTGATAAGAGCTGTCCTTGAAAAAAGAGCCGTTTCTGTCTGAGCTCTCTCAGCCCCACCGACCTCACAGGGTGTCTGTTGTGGGGAGGGGAAGGGAAAGGAGTCTGTAAACCGCTCTGGGACTCCCTTGGGTAGTGAAGGGCGGGGTATAAATCCAATCTTCTCTTCTTCTTCTTCTACCTCACAGGGTGTCTGTTGTGGGGAGGGGGAGGGAAAGGAGTTTGTAAGCCGCTCTGAGACTCCACTGGGTACAGAAGGGCGGGGTATAAATCCAATCTCTTCTTCCTCTTCTAACTCACAGGGTGTCTGTTGTGAGGAGGGGAAGGGAAAGGAGTTTGTAAGCCGCTCTGAGAAACCCTTGGGTATAAATCAAATTTTCAATCACTCCAATCCCCTCCTCCTCCTCCTCCTCCTCCACCTCCTCCTCTTCTTCTTCCTCTTCTTCTTCTTCTTCTTAACAGGGTGTCTGTTGTGCGGAGGGGGAGGGGGAGGAGTTTGTAAGCCGCTC